GCACATCAAATTTACACTCTATATATGTTCACATCAAATATATTTCGTTTTTTTTTTTCGATGCGTATATATATACATAGAGACGAACCGATCGACTGTGAACGAATGAAAGATGTACTCAGTCAGTTTTGGCTGGCTTAGTCGAGTGAGTCTGGTGGTTCAGTTGTTTAACGTTTGAAACCAACTCTTACTGAGTATTTTATGGAGAAATGAACTCAAATATTCGACGAAAGAGAGAGAGAAAAAAACAACAACATACGCTATTTTGCCTTTCAACGCAAAATTTTCAGGGATTTAAGTTTTATTTATTTGTTTTATGTTTGTTTTCGTTTGGGAAAATGGCTTGAATGTACTATTATGCTTGAGTTGCGTATGTGTAGACGATAGATGTGTTTGTGTGTGTGGGAGGTTTGACTGTTCGGGCAGCAGGCAATGACGGGATTGAATAAGTGATCTAAAATACTAACAGTTTCTCTGGAGCACATAAAACCAAATACATCCACAAAATCATGATGATGGTGTGGTGGCATAACATCAAACCCAAGTGAAAAGCAAAATATAAAGCTTTTACCGCACTTTCAAATACAATTACCTCCGTCATCACACTGCATACGCGCGCACACACATACGGTGAGATAAACAGAGATGAACGATGTATTTGATGAGTTTTCTTTTTTTTACAACCATTCATACATCAAACGGGAAAATACGCACATGTGTATTCATGAACAGACGAAAATACAAATAAATCTCATCCATTTCACCGTTTCAATAAAGTAAATTTCATTCTTTTCTTTCGCACTTTTATTCATTCGGTGGCAGTGAATTTTTCCGAACTCTTGAAATGCAATACAGGCATACAGATGGTAGACAAATTTCCAATCGACATCATTACGCGTTCGCAAAAATCTTACGATTTTACAACCACATCGCTATCGAATTCGATTCTTTTTTTTTTCGATGGCAATTTATTTATTCAACGATATTGGCGCGCAATGTTCTATGGTTATTGCATTCGATATTTGCAAGCAGCACAATTTTTGCGTTGTAAAAATGAAAAGCAATAAACATCATGAAATACAACAACGTATACGTATCAAATCATTCTCAAAGTCTCTTAGATCTTATAATTTTGCGAGCGAAAACGTGAATATGTTCCAGTATATGCGCTTACGAAATTCGTTTTTCTTCTTGTTTGTTTCCAATAATACGAATCGAACTAGGAAAATATTTATATTTATTGGTCGAGAAAAAAAATCGATTTCTATGCCGATATGCTTTTTTTCCTCTCCATGAATTGGCACATCGAACGAACGCATACTAAAGTTTGAAAATATAAAAAAAAAAATTGGGAAAACATACACACAGAGAGGAAATGATGGGCATATAAATTTGGAATCGTTAGCCCTTTATATTCTTTGGGGATTAAATTCCTTGCCAATGCATTGAATTCGGCGCAAAAAAAAAACCCTTACCAAGATAAATGTGTTTACGAAAAACAAAAACTGCTGCAAAATTCATTGTTGATTGTGAACTGTGTGAACAAAGTTCCGCAATGAATGTGATCATTAAAGTTCGTCGCTGGTTTTTCGACCATCATTAAAATTACTGATGAACATTTCAACTGTCACATAGTTTTTGGCACATTTCGAATGGATCCTTTCACGGGCGTTTCACATCGCTTTTGGGCCATCCATTGAAAAATCACATGTGTTTTGTTTCCACACCGAATTTCTGGGGCGCGTCAAAACATAATACAATTAAATTAGTGTGAGCAAGTAATTTATATCAAATTTGACATATTATGCGTGCACATTATGTACCGTGCTACTGATTCCACTCTACTAAATTTCATATTTATTAATTTTGATATGTGAGTGAGTGTGTGTGTGTGCAAAGCGCCGAATGATAAATTTATGAGCTGTACAAACATATTTTACATGTAGCCCCCGTAAATTTGGTTTATTAAACAACAACTAAATGAGTTCACAGATGAACTGAGTTGCAGGCTAATGTTCATGTTAATATGCTTGAAATGACAAAATATATAGCGAACACGCAGTGATGACCTTCCACCAAAAATATTTATCGATTGGTTTATTGTTGCATGTAATGTTCGCGTTTGGCGCATTCTATTCACTCATGTTACTTTTCAAATGCAGTGAACTGAAAAAATATTGGAATTTCGGTTTTGATAAAACCAATGTGCTGGGAGGGAGTTTGATCAAATTCAACTTAAATCAAAGCTCACGAACGATGCCAGCAAAAACAAGGCGACCAAGATGATAAGATATTGATGAAAATCATCTGTCGCTTCACTTAGTGCTTGATATCAATATTATTCATTGACACATAAACATTTCGATATGTGTGCAATGAATGGAAGTCCTTTCGGTTCGGTCATCTGCGTTCGAAAAACTAAATCAAGCTTTGGCATTGTTGTTGTTATTATTCATGGACAATGCGCATACTGAGATTATGTGTGCACTGTGCAATGTGCATGTATGCACTCTATTCATATTTGTTTTTATAATAAGTTAACGCTTGTTTGCACGCACACACATACATCCATAAAATAATTGTGTATGGAGAAAAATTATTGTGATCAACTGACGTTTTCGATAACAATATGTGTCGGCAATGTGTGCATCGATAAAAATCAACCACAATATTTCTATTGTTGTGACTTTATTCTCTCTATCTCAACTTCCAATGAAATAAATGGTAACAGTAGCCCCGCTGATAACTATACTTTTTCTGCTGTTCGGGTGTTTTTTTCCGCTACGGTCAGCTTACACAAATACCTCGTTATGTACGGAACGATTGAGATCCAACCAACAACAACAACAATAACAACATAAAATACGACTATTACTCACCAGTGCAAAAAAAATCGTTCTTATTTCTATGCGGTTGATATTTATTTTAAAGTTGCATGCACGTGTGATTATGAATAAATTGTTTTATCAACAGTCAACCAAGCAACGAAGCAGCCAGCCAGTAGTGCCACCATGTCCAATTGAATAACATCGGTGAGAGAAAGACAGTGAGATTTCGCATTTGGTCGCAACAAAACGAACTAGTAGCAAACAAAATAATAACTAGTAGCAACAAATGAAATCATAACGAACAGAAAAAAAAGACTTATACTCAACAATTTAACAACAGAAATTCCCGGTACAAAATATTGCGGTTCAGTATAGAAAAAAAATTAACAACAATGTTACAAATGGAGAAAAAAAAAGTACAAAAACTCTCAAAACACGAATAAGCACCCGATATATGCGATACTCTTTGCACCCATAACAAACGAGTTGCGTTTTTCAACTCACTGAACCATCAACTATTTGCAGTATAATTCTGAGCAAAAACGAAACGAACCAAAGAAGAAAAAAAGCAGCAGCAGCAACGAAGAGAAATGGCGTTGTGTAGATACAATAAAATGCACGCATATCGCAATATCGCACTGTAAATAAAATGGGCAAAACAATTTAAAAGTGTGTTAAGCTAAAAAAGAACCAACAACAATGTGTAAAAATGGTGCTAAGAGAAGAAGAAAGGCAACAGCGAAAAAAAACAACAACAACATCGACGACCATACTGAGCCGTATTACCCATTTGTGCGCATATGACTTTTATGAGTTTAGTAGATCAGTTCACCATTGCTCCAATGTGCATTGCACATTGTATATCAACGAAAAATCTAATTTCTTGTTTTCACGCGCGCCCACGCTAGCCAATTAATAAACGTATTCATTATATTCAGTCGCCATCACACAACTCTAATACACACACGGAAACAAAACGCTGTGCAAAACGAAAATAATAACGAACGAATAATAAATGAATAAAGAATAAAAAAACTGAACTAAATCATAACAAACTTGAACAAACAAATATCCAATAGACATAAAAAGAAAATCAAAGCGCGTTGCATTCGCGTTTGCAACACTATGAAATCAGAAACTCTAATCGTGCACACAACACGGCTCTCTAAATTACATCATTCGATTTGCTCTGGTTCAGTCGAAGATTGAAAAAAAACACACAACAAATTTCCTTTTCTACTTAAGCCAATCGTTTCGTGTTACTTTCTCGTATTTTTCTTTCAGTTGCAGTAAACCAGTAACCGTACATAGAAATCGCGTATGTTTTGTTCATCAATTACGTTACAAAAGAATATATTTTGTTCATGAACCATTCTTATGCTTTCGTTCACGAGAGATTGAAAGAGAGAGTAAGTGAGAAGAAGAAGCAAAAAAAAAATCGTGAGCATCGTTCTAATTTATCGTAAATACGTGCGATAAATTTAATAGACGTATGCCTCGTGCAATCACCGATGGCATATGGTTTAAGTACTTGAAATTTTGGGCGATTTATTTTCAATGCGACGCACTCACCAATAGCATCAATGCGAACATGTTTGCAACTTAACAAGCTATACATCGATGTGCATAGCTAGCAACAGAAATACATTGTTTGCGCGAGAACACAAACACTTTTTGGAAATTTTATTTTTTTAATATAACGCCAATTAATTACTATGGTTGGAGTTTAACGTAATTTATAACAAAACTTATACGACGGCAGCGATGATGATGATAACGATGCTGTGTAATTGAATGAAAATGAGAGGAAAACAGATAGAGAGGAGGAGAGTATATACGTAATAGAGAATGGCGAACGAAATCAAAATGCTTTTCGAATTTATAAATTTTTATTCTAAAAATATCGCTTTGGAAAAACATTTTATCGTCCGACAATAAACACGAACACACACACATAAAGAAAACAAGATCAGTGGTGCTCCAATCAGATTATTATTGCTTGAATTTGTTCATCTAAATTCTGCACGCACAACAAATAATTGCCTCAAAATCGAACAAAACACTCTTTCAAAATAGTTGCTTATAGTATAGTATATAAAGGATTCACGAGTAAAAATGATTATGATTCAACTTTTTTTTTATCGTTATTTTTCTTTTTCTCTCTTTTCATAGGCTTGACGTGTTGCTTTTTTTTCATCAACACAACATCATCAGACACAGTCCATTATATTGGGAAATTTTGAGCACCAAAATGATGTGGCAGCACAATAAGTTGAAGAAGCGTCGTAATATTGTTCCGGCTCGGCAATAACACTTCAAATAAATTATATTATATAAAAAAAAATTCTTCTGTTCGGTGAGTACCTCGCACGCATCTGTTGCTACAAAAATATTTTATCGATGGATTTTTGGTCTCATTTTCGTTATATTGAATTTGCGGTTTGAAATCGCTTTATATGAGATTCACTCAATTCTTTTTAGTAATATCGTATATTTTGCGGTATTTCGATTTTTCAACTCAATTTTATTATTTAGTCTGTCGAAAGACATGGAATATAGTGCGCAATATGCGAGACAACGTCACATATACAATAACAACTGAACCAAAATTACATCCATTTGGGGGGTAAATATTGTGAATTACACTCTCGATTGAAACATAAAATGCATAAAGTAAAATTTCAAGTTCATGTACAATAAACATTGTGCTGTGCCATCGAATTTGGTTTTGTTAATATTGAATTCACCAGAATAGAAAAAAAGAAGCAGCAGCAACAACGGTAATAGTCAATAAAGAAAGTCACAACAGTGCAAAAATGCCAAAATCAACGGATTGAATGACGAAAAATGTGAACAGTCAGGGTGAGAAAGAATGAGAGACACACAGAGAGGAGTGAATAAAAGCCGTTTGGCAAAACATGCACACGGTACGCGGAGTGCACACAATTCAATTGACATGAATCTGACACACGAGAATGAAAACAAAAATGAACCACAAAAAACGTACGAAAACAAATATTAAATCGAAGCAATTGAATGGTAAATAATCAGTTTTCGAAACCCAAAATACGCACATTCAAATCAATTTGGAAAGCTGTTGCGACAGCTTTGTCGTTCTCACTCTCCTTGACAGCTCAATGTTGTGACGATCGAACGTTTATACAAAGAAAGACGAAAAAAAAATGGACCGAAGAACATTCTAGGTGAAATTCCATTGGATGTATTTTTTTCGTTATTACATCTATATGGGTTGTGTTTTTCAATACGAATAACAGTATAAAAAGGATTTTGGAGAAATATGCGTTGCTTTTATTCATGATTACTGTTTGCGAAATGTGCGTGAGCGTATACGAAAATGAAAATCGGTAGGTGAAGTATGCTTTTATTCGAATCAAAATGGTTTAGACATTGAATTTAAATAGCAAGCAAATGATGAAGTCATAACAATAATCATAATAAATATTTGGTTTTAAGAAAACAAGCACTGAACAAAAAAGTGAATTAGAAAGTGAAAAAAAACCACATGGCTTATAACTGTCAAAAAAGAGACTTTCAATCGTTTTTTCAATGGAAAAATCCGATTTTCCGACGAATACTACTTTGCTCGGCAACACAACATTTTTCGCATCATTGAATACAGAGCCGAATCGGAGACAGATAGAGAGAGAGAAAAAAAAGAAAACATTATACATATTGGTCTGATAACCATATGCACAGATAAGGCGATTTTATTATATGCGTTTTGTCGATTTTCACTAACGTTTCTTCCAATATTCTGCTTACGTAAGGTGGTTAAAAGAAAATTGAAAATTCGATAACCATGACAAAGAAGACAACCAATAAGCGCACATACACCTTACTTAATACGTGGAATGGTTGTTGAGAAGGATTTTTCATCGATTGCATACGCCACGGCCACATTGATGCCAACGTTGTGTTACTGGTCTTTTGGGGATTTAAGCTGTCGTTGTTATATTATTGTGTGACGAGAGATTCGCAATGATTGAAGAGAAAGATTTTGGTCCAATAAAAATAAACCGTTGACAGCATTCACGTCACATTGTTGAGCATTTTAATTTAGCGTGATCCTTTTCATCAACAACAACGGAACAACTCACATTCAATGTGTATGCGACATTTTAGACGGAAATTGTTTTGGCCTTCAGTTGATTTTATGCAATGCGCTTCATTTTGATTACTTCACCATTTCATGAGGTCATCCTTCAAAGTTGCTCCTCTATTTACGTACATCCGAATCATCATTGTTAACTTGTCTCGTTTAGATTTTCTAACATCATACACCCGAATTCCATGAGAAAACTAACATTGTTCGAGCGCAAATTTATACCATAAATGATAATACCAAGCTTTCAGAGCACGTATCGATTTTGTGTGCTTATACTTATCAACGTGCGCTCATTCTCTCAAACACTTTCGTTGTTTATATTTATTGTAGACACTCACACAGAATGAACGATAGAGAGAGAGAGAGAGAGATCGGTGCACACCGACAAACTTCAAAATCTCCACAGACAGTTGCCAAGCATAAAGCGTTTCTCTCGTTCACTATAGTCTACCATCTGTAGCGCCTTTATCTTTCTATCGCTGTGAGAATGAAAGCTAGATTCACACAAGATGTGATGGAAGCATTTAGTTTGGATGTGTGCATTTTCTGGTCCCTTCTTATATTCTTCGTGTTATTTTGTTTGCATATGGTTATTTTCATTTTAAAAAGTATTTCATCTTTTACGCTTTTTTATCCCTGCATTTGTTTATTCTTTAACCGTATTCTATTTGGTGACTTTGGTTTGCTTTTATTTTGTATGTGGCGAACGTATTTTATTGACTTTGATTTTTTCTTCGGGATCTTGTTGTTATTATTATTGCTGTATGTTTATCTAATTCGTTTTTGGTGGTTTTATTTATTTACTGGTATGTTTTACTCCCCTCTATCCCACTCTCTCTCTCTCTCTCTCTCTCTCTCTCTCTCTCTCTCCTTCTCTATTTTTTGATCCTATATTTTTGGGGATTATACGTCAACACGCAAATTTTTCATATCACGTTTCCTCCGTATATACACATTGTACCATCCACACCGAAAGAGAATCGTTATCACGTTTGCCTGAAAAGCACTGCATGTTTTCGATTAGACTCGTTTTATCGTCAGAAGCTCCTTTTCGTGTCACAATATCACTGAACAACACGCATCCAATACCAACATTTACCAAAATCGCTTGAACGGTGTGTTTTTGTTCCGTTTCTCACTCATGTTCCCATTTTTTTTTCTGCATTCAACAGCAGATAACTGATTAGAAAAGGCGACTGTTCATTTGTGGATGGAATAGTTCAGTTGTGGCGGGTTTTTTTTGTATTTTCACTCATGCCGTCATCGAAAGTGGTAAGCGTGTTCGTGCACATCAAAATATATGTGCAAGCGAAACGATCACATGAAGCATTGTAATTATGATTGTGTAATTACTTTGTAGCCGCCGCCGTGCACAGCATTTATAAAATCGAGGAGAATTAAAAAAAGACTACCTCGACAGTTGCATTTACCAAAGTGCATGTACAGTGTAGATGAGATAGAAAGAGAAATACAAACAGAGAGCGAAAAGTGGAGAGAGAGAGTGAATGTCTGTTGTTTGTATCACCTACAACGAACGGTTGATGTAGTACATGATCGACGAATGTAGAGAAACAGGCGTGCGCGCAAGCCAACAGCATTGATAAATTATAAAATTACTCATTTCATGAAAAAGAAACATGAACAATATGTATACCTCACAGTTAACTATAAACAAACAAACTCCAGCCGCACTCACATCAAAATTGAAAATAAAAACACACAATTCTGCTGGATGCTATAAAAAGAATTAACATTGTTTAAAAACGTACCGAACGTAGCGTCAGAATGCGAAGCAAATGTACGTGTGTATGTGTGTGTTGCATGATCGTGTTTTTTTTTTCTTCTTCACAGTTTGATTCTATTTTTCGACAGCATAGAAAAACGATACAATTCCGATCCAAAAGCGGAAATTTAATTTTGTTTCACTTTTTCTTTTTTTTTTCACAGTTTTATTTGTAAATTATGTTGAGCGTTCGATCTACCATTTGCCCGTATATTGTTTACTTCGTGTTATGAATTTCGTTGTTGTTGTTGTTATTTTGGTGTGTTTTGTTTTTCACTTGTTTCATTTCAACTTGACGGATTCTTTGGCCCGCTATTTATGCTCTTTCTCTATTGAAAAATCGTTCCGTTGTTATTGCCGTGGCAATTGTTATTGGTTGCATTCAATCGTGAAGCGTCAGTTTGGTTGTGACGATGTTTGGTGTAAGAATGAAGAGAGTGGATAAAACACGGTGAAAGATTTGTTTTTGGACGAGTTTTGTTTTTTGCTATTTCATCATTGTTGATCAACTAAAAACCCTGAAAAAATTGAATTAGAGTTTGAATTGCCGTTTAAAAAGTTTAAATGTTTAAGCACAAAGTTAAATAGTCGTAAAAAAATGTTTTCTTTGAAAAATACTCGGTGAGTGAGATGAACAAAAATGATGTGAATGTGTGTTTTTTTTCGTGATAGCATGATGATGATGATGAAAAATGAGCATTAAAAAATGGTACAAAATCCGTAATTAAAGTGAACAGTTTGAAAGAGAATTTACCTAATGGTTTTAACCGTCTTTTGCTGCCCTGCCTGTAACGACGATACCGACGACAACATTTTTATAAAAGTATAAAAATGGACCTGAACACGGTATTGAATAATCTCTGTTTATTTTTTGTTTCGAAATACCCTCTCTCTTTATGTATTCTTTTGAATACTAACTAAACGAATTACTTCGTATGAAATGAACAAAAAATTCGAAAACAAAGGACTTTTTTCCATATCGAAAAGCCTCGTTTCGGCCGAACCAAAAAAATATGTGTTGTCAAATAACAAACGGTCGCAGAGCGTCAGATTCCATTTTTTTTTGTCGCCCGCCCCATGTCACACGATTTATGTCGCATGTTTTGGCTGCGCATTCTTTTCATTTCATTTTGCGATAGAATGTTAATGGTGTCATCATTTGAACCATTTTCCGGAATTTTTCACGTATGTATTGTGCATAATACATATACACTTATTGTAAAATGCATGACAACTTTGGCCTTCGCCTTATTTTCACTTTATCTGCTCGCTTACAATTCACTTTGTGTTCAGCATTATTAATCTTTCCTACGTTATACCATCATTCTTCTTGTTATTTTGTCGCGTTATATTTTTGTGCACTCTCTTCGCCGCCATCTCTTTGCTCTTGTCTCTTCGTACAATGTAAGAGCGTCGCTTGTTTTTTTTCACACAGCATTTTTATGAA